CATGTCTGGATCAGGTATAATCATACCCAAATCAGGTGCCTATAATTAGGTTCCTCCAGATTGGTCCAGTTACCCCAGAATTCGTTGATCTGAGTCCATCATACCTTCTCAGATCTGGATCTACGGTAGTCACCGTAGTTCCAGGCGTACCTGTCACTCCACCTGACTCGATCACTTCCTGTTTGTAATTTCCCGGAATTCACTTTACTACAATCGCCTCCTATCTCTAGTCGTTGCTGCCCAACAGGATCACTGCAGACACTTTTCCTTATTCATCACTCGTCGCAGATCTCCACCACGGCAATGTCCAACGCCTCAAGCCCAAGCGGATCTTCGAGTGGTGGATCACCAGGATCCACCTTCGATCCCCACAGCACGCGCGAGGAGCTTCACAGATACACCACGCGCCTCTTCCGTCGTGTGGATGAGCTCACGGCCGCTCTGGCCATCTTCCCCGAGGTTCGGATCCGCCGTCGGTCGAGCACCAAAATCGGCTGGACGATATCCGCGACTACATCCAGGAGCAGGATCGAGCCATGTCGTTCATGCAACAGACGATCAACGGCCTTCGCGTTGAACGTGATGATCTGCAAGTGTCGATGAACGCAAACGGCCCAACTCCTCCGGATCTGCAGCTTTCCACTGCTGACATGCACAACCTCGAAGATCAAGTCGCGGATCTAGAGTCTCAAGTAGGGCAGTTGCTGCAGGAGAGAGAGCACACCGGGGAGGAGATCTTGGACCTGCAGGAGCAGCGCAACTCGGCTGATGACGCTTGTGAGCCAACCGCTGACCAGCTTCAGGTCACTGAGGCCGGACTTTGCCACACATGTCTGGCTCTGGATCAGACCGAGGCGGATCTGTTAGCGCGAAGCAAGTCGTCGCCATAGTTTCGCCAGATCAGCCGTCCGCGGATCTCCAAGCTCAGCTGGACCACATGACGGCCAAGCACAGCAACCTTCAGGATCGTTTTGATCAAGGCTCCCGGGAGCGAGACACTTTGTACGCCCAGGTCCAAACCAAGGATCGCGACGCTGACGAGCTCCAAGATCGGATCCAGAAGAACATTGAAGAGATCAAGCGGGAGAAGTCGTGCGGTGAGATACTTCGCGTTAATCTCGCCGGGGCCGTCAAGCGTGAAAAGGGACACCACCACAAGAGCGAAGATCTGTGTACGTTCCTCATTTTGGATCTAGATTGTATCATCCCATTAACTTCTTTCGTTTTTCACAGAACGCGACGTCTCCATTGCTCGTACAGCGTACGCGAACACCGAGCGCTCGATCACCGAGCAGAAGGCCACACTCCTAACGTTGAACCGTCAACTGGCCACTCTGAACCAGGAGCGCATGAATCTACGCCGCAAATTGCGCACAGCATTGGTAATGTTGTCTACCGTGGCCGCCGGCATGGGATCAACTCCTTCTACCACCAAGCTCTGTCTCGACACGGAGTCCGCCAACGAGCGATCTGAGAGTTCTCCGGATGCTCAAGAGAAGTCGGATCAAGAGAGGCCCGATCGCGATCCTGATTACATCCTCCGCCCAAAAGGTCCGATGGATCCTCTTCCAAAGACAAACGTCACGATCTTTCGCTGGGTAAGCGATCTCGTAAGTCTTCTCCTTCTCAGGACGCGGATCGTCCCTCGAAACGCCAATCCCTGATGACCGATGATCACAAGAAGAAGTTGGTTCAGGATGAAGATCCAGACAATTACGACATGGGTGGGGACTCTGACGTCGAGGAGACACCAGATCAAGGCCACGACTTGCTCGATCAGCTGCTGGAGAAGGATGACGGCGCTGCGAGTCGTCTTCAAACTCCTGAGCCACGTTATTCGACATACGAGAAGGGCAGATCAGGAGAGTCTGGCGTACCTGCTGACTTGGACCCTGCCTCCAAGTCGATTCCCAAGTCCAAGTCTCGATCCACAAGTGGCTCTAAGCTCTCCAAAATACAGATCCAGAGGAAGAGGGCCAACGACCAGATGACACTTCGCCCGAGAATTCAGCCGAAGGTGACAACGACGAAGTCTTGGACGATATGTTCCAGGCCCAGACACTTATGGCTCTTTCTCGATCCAGATCCGAGCAGCGATCATGCAGCTCCTTGTCGCACCGGTGCCGGTGGGCAGGAGATCCTGGATCGGGCGGTGATTCCGACGGTGGCGACTCAAGCAATGGCCGTGGTGGCGGCAGTGGCGGTGGATCTCCTGCGGAATCGGCTGGGGTACCCTACGGCTCGCAAACACCACGGGATAATAGATCTTGTCATACTCCTGCATCAGCGATCCTGAAATGGCCCAGTTACTAGCATACACCACAACCGTAGAACTTAGATCTGGATCAAAGTGTCGTAAGATCGGGGTGGTGGTGATCTTAGACTTAAGCACGCTGAAAGATCGATAGGCGTGGATCCATCGTGGATCTACTCCAGTGAGGTCTTGCGCCTCCAGATCCAACGTATTTCGGTGGTCGACACCCTGATCTTCCCGCGATCCTTGATCCACATTCTCTTATTCCAGTACTTGTTGGATCCGCGCTTGGGTAGCTTCCCTCATCATCGCAACAAAGTCGGTTTCTCGTAATTCATACAGAACCGACGCGTAGATCGCGTAGTCTTTGATAAATCGGCTATAATAGTTCAGACTTCCCAAAAATGACTGCATAGCTCTGAGTGATCCTGGAAATGTTAGATCAGTCAATGCAGACAGATCTTTCGATTTCGCCTCCAGTCCCTTGTGAGAGACCCTATGCCCGAGATATTCCACCTTAGGCATTCCCCAGAAACTCTTAACCACACTGATCGACAAATTCCACTTATCACACGCTTCGAGCAAACCTCCCACTCGGTCACATAGTTGATCCCAGTCATTGACCGGGACCAGGATGTCTTCGATGTATGATCTACGCCCAAGCACCGATGGCTGGCTTGGATCCACCGGTTCCCCGTCCTCAAACACATCCAAAGTGCTTCCATGACCTTCGGACTTCGGGATCCGGGTGAATCCATATAGCGCGTTATCGATCATACGTTGATAGATCTGGGACGTATTCTTCAAGCCAAAAGGTATCCGATTCCACTCAAATTGTCCAAAGGGAGTGATAAAAACTGAGATCAAACAAGCACGATACGTCATTTTCACTACCCAAAATCCACTCGTCATATCCAAAGAACAGTACCAAAGTGTCGATTCCAGATCTTCAAGAAAGTCATTGATCAAGGGCATTGGGTATACCATCAGCTGCGTTAGACTGTCAACCAACCGGTAATCAATGCACAACCTGATATCCACTCCGTTCTTCTTGCTGATCACCACGATCGGGGAAGCCCATGGGGATCTAGAGTAATTGATCATCTTGGCAGATAACAGACCCTTGATCAAGTCCGCCAGCTTCTCCCTGAACTGGATCCGCAACTTACGACATTTGAGGGCGATAGGTCTCGCTCCTCCGACATCGATGTCGCAAACAACACCTCGGGCGGCCGGCGGCAGGGCATTACCTTTGCCGATCAAGAGGTACCAGAACTTCCAGATCCTTTGGCAAAGTCGATCAAGTTTTTCTGGGGTCTGATTATCAGATCCACACACCTGAATGTCCTCGATCTTTATATCTTCCGTCGTCACGGGCAGTTCAGGCAGTACCGCCATCTGACCGTCGACATCGTCCGCGTACAGATCACTTCCTTCATCGTAGTATACCCATTCATCATAATCTTGATCTGAGTCCCAGATGAGGTCCAGATCCGACGCGTCTGGTTGATCTTCAACAACAGGTGATGGATCTATATCCGTGTTTTGCGACATAGACGCGACGCACTTGTCGTTAAACGGATCACTGTCCACAAGTCCCGTCCCAGATTGTACACTCATCATTGATGACGGATCTGATCCACCGCATTTCGACGGTGATGTTCCTTGATCCTGACCCGTCGAATATAGTTAATCCTGGTTGGCGACCCCAAATCCATCTCGACCTTATTCTTCTCGCGCCTCTACTGTACTTGTAGTTTCTTCCAACGACGGATCAGTCGCCCAAACGTCTGGCGTTACTTGATCGAGATCTTCTAGCGCCACCTTGACCGTTACGGCATGCAATATAGAGTCTCCAGCTGCGATAGACGAAAGATCTGACTCCTCGCTTGCGACAGACGCTAGATCCAACGGTCGAATCTCCGACGACAGATTTGTCCGACGGCGAGTTATCCGAAGACAGGCAGTCGGGAACGTCTTGATCCGGACTCGCCTCGATCTTCCGACACTTGATCGACGTCGTCTTCGGCCTCTGGAGTATTGTGCGCGGAGTTTTATACTCGGGTCGCTCTACCATGGGCTCCAGCGGGGCTTCGATCTCCATATCTTCGGATCGATCGTCTGTCGTGGCTTCTAGCGCTAGATTCTGCCACTCCATGTAACGACGAAACCCGATCGAGATGACACCCGGTAGTCGCAGCACATGATCCCCGTCCAGACATTTTCGGATCCGCGGATCTTGATGTAGGATCAACACTTCGTCCCCGATGTTAGTGATCGAGATGTACTTCGCCCTCCCTGGCCCATCAGACATGGTGGACACCCATTGATCCCCGCGTGTGACCCACAGCTTGTCGTGAATCGACGATCTCACGCGTAATGGCAGCTCCACCGACTCTCCTGATGTGTAGCGAATCGCAGCTTCGCAAACCATCGAGCTTTCAAGGCCAACTGGCACAAGATCTTTCGGGGAAAGCCCACTTCAGACCGCGATTGGCTGGTTATATTCCCCGCACCCTACTGACGGGATCGCTCTTG